ATGGATAGATAGATGGAGAGAGAGACAGACAAAGAAAGAGAAAGACAGACAAAGAAAGAGAAAGACAGACAGACAGAACTAAGGGGACTAAGGGGGGAAAGACAAAAAGCCTTCGCCAATTCATAGTCATAAATGTGATCCTACATCAATGACAACGCCATATACACACATATATTTATAACTCAGTGTTGATAAATCACCTGAATTTAACATGTAACGAAGAACAAAATTCCAGGTAATATAAACGACAACAGCAACGAAATTCGACATCAAACTGACCCCAATATAATGAACAATCATCTGAATGCAATCTAAAATGTAGAAAAAAAAGAGTAAATGGATAAATGAATACATAAATAAACCAATTAATAAATGGTTAAGAAATTGATATGTAAATGGATAGATAATTAAACCTAATAACTAAATAAGAAAGTTAACCAATAAATAGATTAACCAATCAATACATAAACAGATAAACTAACAAAAACATACGGTAAAAAGAAAGAAAAATGGTGCTGCCTGTCTCAGTTCTCCAAATATACCATAAAGTCGTAACCATGCACAGTCCGCTTGCATGTTTTCGTTTACTGGCCGGAGTTTATGTTGCAGTGAAAGTGGAAACGCGACACCCGGTGATGACCTGAGGATGAAAACGGATGAAAGGTCAGTGTTTGATGTTGGGTTGGTGTGAATATGGTGTGAATATGGGAATGGGTGGGTTTGTGTAGGGGTGGGGTGAGTGGATGTGTGGGGGCGGGTGGGTTTGTGTAGGGGTGGGGGTGAGTGGATGCGTGGGGGCGGGTGAGTTTGTGTAAAGGTGGGGTGAGTGGATGTGTGGGGGCGGGTGGGTTTGTGTAGGGGTAGGGGTGAGTGGATATGTGGGTGGGTTTGAGTGGATGTGTGGATGTATGTGGGTGGGGGTGAGTGGATGTAGGGGGGGGGTGGATATATGCGAATGTGGGTGGGGGTGGGGGTGTGTAGGGGGGGTGGATGTATGTGAATGTGGGAGTGTGTGTGTGTGTGTAAGGGGATAGATGTATGTGATGTGGTTGGGGGTGAGTGGATGTGTGGTGGTGGGTGGGTGTATGTGTGTGTGTGTAAGGGGATGGATGTATGTGATGTGGCTGGGGGTGAGTGAATGTGTGGTGGTGGGTGTAGGGAGGTGAATGTATGTGAATGTGGCTAGGGATGGGTGAGTGGTTGAATGTGAATGTGGCTGGGGGTGAGTAGATGTGTGGGGGCGGATGGATGAATGTGAATGTTGGTGGGGGTGGGTGGAGATGTATAGGGGTGGCGGGGTGATGTGGGTGTTTGTGTTTGTTCTTTGTGTCTGTTTGTATTTGTGCGCTTACGTCTGTTCGTTTGTGTGTGTTTGTGTCTGTTAGAGCATATGTATGAATTCGAGGTGGTCAGTATGGAGAATTCGTGAGCATGTATGCGCGAGTGTGTCTTTTAACAGAACACATACGCATGTCTATGGGAGCCCTCTTTACAGACACGGACATGACCGTGAGAGAGTATACTGGTCAATAACAATTACCAAAGAAGCAAACAAAAAACACTGACATAATGGCCCAAGAATGTACAATTACAGTTAGAAATTTCTTACAACCTTGCCCTTGGTCGCTTAGCAAGGGTGTGTGCGGTCGGGGCGAGGAGGGGGTGTAGGGGAAAGGGAGCGAAATGAGGGTGGAGAAAAGGGGTGTAGGTGAAGATACAGGGCGAAGAGGAGGGTAAGGGATAGGGGTAAGAAGGTGGGTATAGATGGAAGGGAATAGGCAAAAATAGGGCAGGAAACTAGAGGGCAAGAGGAAGGGAAACATAGTGGGGGGGGGTAATGGAGGATTACGAGATAAAGAGTGAGTGAGGAAGGGGTTGAAGGAAAGCAGGAATTGAGGGGGGAGGAGGTAGGCGTGGTAGGGTGTGGCCATGACCAGAGGAGGAAGGGAGGGAGGGGTTGGGAGACGGTGAGGGAGAAGGGGAGAAGGAGAAATGGGGGGGAGGGAGGAAAGGCTAGACAATGAGGGTCACTAACGGGCCACCGTGCCTTGCGGATAAAGTGACACGCCGCTTTTCCCTCTCAGGGCGTGGCACTCCAGTGGCCCTTCGGATTTCGCAGGGAGGCGAGTACTGGGAGGGAGGTCTCAGCGGTTGATCTGATCGGTAGGAATCAAAGGGACACACGTATTACAAACACACACACACACACACATGTGTGTATATATACACATACACATGTGCATATATGTATGTGTGTTTGTGTGTATATCTGTGAATGTATAATAAGAATCAAGTTACAATTAGATGCAAATTAACTGGAATATGCATAAATTCAAACCGAAATCAGATCACACTCATGATGAGAATATGGATGAAAATGAAAGTGTTGATATAAGCACACACACACACACACACACACACACACACACACATATATATATATATATATATATATATATATATATATATATATATTCATATACATATATATGTATGTATGTATGACATATATTATTTGTTTATTTATTTGTATATATATATATATATATATATATATATGTGTGTGTGTGTGTGTGTGTGTGTGTGTGTGTGTGTGTGTGTGTGTGTGTGTTTATGTGTGTATGTGTGTATGTATGTACGTATGCATGTATGTATACATGTATGTATGATAAATATATTATTTATATATGTGTATGTATATATGCATATGTTATACATATTTATACATATATACACATACATATATTGGTATGTATAGTATATATATGATATGTATATATGTATGTATGTATACATGTATGTATGATATACATATATATGCCTGTATGTATATATATATATATATATATATATATATATATATGTCTGTATATACATGTATATGTGTGTATATATGTATATATACATGTATGTATGATATATGTGTATATAATACACACACACATATATATATATATATATATATATATATATATATATATATATATATGTATATATATATATATATATATGTATATATATATATATATATATATATATATATATATATGTGTGTGTGTGTGTGTGTGTGTGTGTGCGTGTGCGTGTGGTATATATGTATATATATATATATATATATATATATATATATATATACATATATATATATATATATATATATATATATATATATATGTGTGTGTATGTATGTAAGAATATAGCATATATATATATATATATATATATATATATATATATATATATATATATATATATATATATGTATATATATATATATGTATATATATGATATATATATATATATATATATATATATATATATATATATATGTGTGTGTGTGTGTGTGTGTGTGTGTGTGTGCACATACATACATACAAATATAT